CTGATCCAGCATTGGCATCTCTTATGTTCTTAATGTAAATAAAAAGCAAATTTGCATATTTTCCCATTAAAAACATGTAGGTTATATATTTGTTCATGCCATACATCCCAGGCTTTGACCACCCCCTCCTTCTCCATGCCTCCAATCCCCCCCCCCAAGATTCTAAGACGCTCACCCTACTGACCGTCAGGACACATTGTACTTGACCAATGTGTATATGCAGTGAAGAAAAAATGCCAGCTAATGCATGACATGGAAGATACCGTTTCCAAGGCCAGATCTAGGTTCCCAAAATTATACTAAAGAGAGTAATGGAAAGTCAGGGGCAGCCATAAGGGAGTGCTGGGCCCCCCCACAACTCACTTCCAGAGGTTCCGCTGACCCACTTTTGGGTTCTACCCCACAGACTGGGGAAACACTGAATTAGACCACAATCATGAAGAAGAAGAGGAGACTGGATTTATATCTCACCTTTCAGGACCCGAAGGAAGAGTAGCTTACAACCTCCTTCCCCTCCCCACAACAGACACCCTGGGAGGTAGGTGGGGTTGAGAGCAATGCTCCCTCTAAGCCGTGGAGTACTGTGAGCAAAAATTCTACTCTGTGAGCTACCGGCATTGAAGCTGTGAGCGAGCAATTTGGCTGCTACACAAATCAGTTTGCTCTGGAGCCCTCCTTCCTGAGCAGAGTCAAAAAGCTGTGAGCTGGAGGCTAAAAAACTGTGAGCCAGCTCACACTAACTCAGCTTAGAGGGAACACTGGTTGAGAGAGCTCTCTCGAGAACTGCTTATGAGAGAACAGCGCTGAGAGAACTACTGCTCCCTCTAAGCTGTGGAATCTTGTGGTAACTTTGTAACACTTGTTTAACTCAAGGTCATATATGTTCACTGTTTCTCTCCAGTCCATCAGGACATACAGCCCTTCCCATAACTTGTCTTCAATTAAACTTTCATTTACTTTTTCCTATACACTCAGCTTTCCTTCTGTTTCTCACTCTCCCTGAACTACCTCCGCTGTCAGTTTCTAACTGCTTCCACACAGAACTGCTTGTCTAACTACCCACTGAACATCAACTGTCCACATCTAACTGAAACTAACCCCTAACCACTACACCAAACTGGCTGCCATCATTCTATATGAAATAACCAAATGAGTTTTTGAAGCAGGTTTCCAAACAGTGTTTGAAAACACAGCGTCTGAACCAGAGCAGAGAATCCAAACACGACGACGAATCCGGATAGCAACCGCACCCACATTTCAACGGCTCTGTGACGTCCTCCTTATTGGGGAGGACTAATTTCACTTTAAAAGAGCTTTCTGACCTGTTCCTCCAGGCCTACGTCACAGACTCACAATTTTTTTATCCATCTAGATGGAGACCCGAAGCCTTACCATGGCAAGTATGGCCTCCTCTTGAGTAAGGGTCACAGTGTCTGGCTCTTCTTGTGCTCCAGAGGTCCCTTTCTCTGGAGAAGATGGCCGAAAAGTCGCCTGTGGACAGAAAACAAAACGGTACAAGCAAATTACTCTCTAGTAGCCCCACGGATCTAGTAGCCCCAAGATCACTGCAGATGGCGACTGCAGCCATGAAATCAAAAGACGCCTGCTCCTTGGGAGGAAAGCGATGGCAAACCTTGATGGCGTAATAAAAATAGAGACATCGCCCTGCCAACAAAAGTCCGTATGGTCAAAGTTGTACTGTATGGCTGCGAAAGTTGGACTATAAGGCTGAGCGCCGAAGAATAGATCTGTTTTAATTATGGTGCTGGAGAAGACTCTTGAGAGTCCCCTGGACTGCAAGGAGATCGAATCAGTCAACCCTAAAAGAAATCAACCCTGACTGTTCTCTGGAAGGCCAGAGACTGACGCTGAAGCTCAAATACTTTGGCCACCAAATGAGAAGGGAGCACTCACTGGAGAAGAAGACCCTGATGTTGGGAAAGACTGAAGGTCAAAGAAGAAGGAGGCGGCAAAGGATGAGATGGACAGTGTTATCGAGGCAACGAACATGAAGTTGAGCAAACTCCGGAGCACGACGGAAGACAGGAGGGCCTGGCATGATGGGGTCGCGAAGAGTCGGACTCGACTGTGCGACTGAACAACAACAGCCCCACATTCTTGATTCCAACACATTCCTCCTGAGTTCAGGGGGAGAGGTTATCAAAACCGACAGGGGGAGCCAGGGAGAGGAGAGCTGAAGGACAGAAAGACACACACACCCCGGCCCACTCACCCGTTGGCTCTTCAGCGGCTCCAGTTCCCGGATGGCCTCCTCCAGCCGCCTTCTCAGCTCTGCCCGTTCCAACTGCAAGCTTTCCACGACGATCCGCGCCTCCTGGAACTTGCGCATGAGGAAATCCTTCTCTTCCTTGTGGGAAGTGTGGAACTGCAGGAACTCCCGGTAGCGTTCCCGTAGCATGTGGTTACTCTGCCGGATGGCTTCTACCAAGAGAACAAATGGGTTTTGGGTTTTTTTTGACAATTAATGCGCCTGGGTCTCCATGGGAGCTGGAGCCCTTAACGTTTCACCTGTTTCAGGGTTGCCACTAAAATTTTATTCTTCATTTTCCCTGACCAACATTTGTCGATTTCCCTGACCACCATTCAAATATAACCCCAAGTTAAAAAATGAATAGGTCAGTGCTCCTTCTAAGCTGTGGAGTCTTCTGAGCAAAAATTCTACTTCGTGAGCTACTGGTATTAAAGTTGTGAGTGAAGCGATTTGGTTGCTGCATCAATTAGTTTGCTCCGGAGCCCTCCTTTCTGAGCTAAGGCAAGAATGTGTGAGCCGGAGGCTAAAAAAACTGTGAGCTGGCTCACACAAAAGTCAGCTTAGAGGGGACACTGGTCGTATTGCATTAATGCAAGGTAAGGTTCCACTCGACAACTACACAAGTCTCAACTGCAAAAATATTTGTCAGAGATTTAACTTCCACTCTACAACTACACAAGTCTCAACTGCAAAAATATTTATCAGAGATTTAACATCAGCTTCTTCCAACATTAACTGCAGCGACATCTGTTTTTGCAACTGCACCAAAAATTACACCAAGATTCAAGTTTCAATTCAAGTAAACTCTGAATGCTAACAAATGACATCACATTTTTGTTATTGTTTTAAAGGTACACTAAAAATTATATAAACGGTCTATCTAAAATGGTTGGGAAGTGTGGTGCCGCAAGTTATGGGACCAGTTCCTCATGGACTGTAACTAACAAAATAAACAATGCCTCACGAAAACCGATCGGCACCACATATATGACAAAATGGGACCCTATCCTTGAATACTTGACCACAGAGGAATTGATTCCTCCCCTATGGACACAATTTCAAAAATGGCTATACATTTTATATAGGGTTTTTCCTACTAGATCAAAATATGACTGACTGTATCAACTTATAATTTCATACAAATATGCATTGGATATAATGCGCGGCCTTGCCATTACTGTTTAATGTCTGTATACTAGATTCTTAGATAATTTGCATACCCTGAAGAAATTGTTTTGAAAGAAACTATGGACCTAGGTAGACTTTATGTGTTATATGGAACAGTTAAGATGCCACAGTACGAAATGTACTCTTCGAACTGCACAATGATTTAACCGTTCTGATCTCGCTATATTTTACAGTTTCACAGGTTTTTATTTTATTTTATATGTTGTTCTGTATTTTGTGCTGATATTTCTCTCAATAAAATCAAATTATAAAAATAAAATAAAATAAAGTGGTCGGGAAAGGGCATCACTGAGTTCTACTTGCATTCTGCCACGTCTCTATTCCAGTTGCCACAAGAACAGATAGTGCTCTTGCAGCAGAGGTCAAAAATCCACCGCTTGAATATACTTCAGACCAATTTCCCTGACCAATTTCCGTTTCCCTGACTTTCCCTAAAGTGGCAACCCTGTGTTTATGGACTGACACAAACAGTCCCACATATATCTCCCTGCCCCCAGGTCCCCCTTCACTTTGCAAGAGGACGGCAGCCTCCTGCTCTGAGAATCCATTTCTCTGAGACACAAAATAACTTCTTCCTTTGTTATAAATAATACATTGTTTACATTGACACAGGGTGTGGCAAAACGGGGACCCGCCCTCAGCCCTGGGAGACTGAGGTGCCGTCCTGTGGCTCGCAAGCCCCTGTTTTGCCCTTCCCACCCTGCCTGGTGGGGCTATTTCTCTTCGTTAAATGCTGCCACCACTCACTGAATTGAGTTATCGCCTTCCTTGAGGGATAGTGAGACCCCTCTGGCTAAATCCCCCACCTTGGGAAGTGGGTACCTCGATCTTTGGGTGCCCCCTGGAGAGTTGGCAACCCATCATATTTAGGCCCGTTTGTGTTCCGTGGCCTCCCTTTGCCCCTGGTAACATGCAGAGTGGGGAAGACTATGCGGTTAAGGCACACCAGGCTTTTTAAACTCAAAAAAAGGAAGATTTATTCAACTATAGACATATCGGGCACAAAAAATAAACACAGGCACTTCAACACAACTGGGACACAGAAAATAAACAGGATAAAAACGCAATCCCCCTCTCCCTACCCACACACCCCTCTCTCTACCCCTGTAGTGGGTTGTGGCCTCAGGCCCAGATTTGCGTTTCCCCCTCCTGTTGTGGAGAGAAACTCCAGCCCTCCTCACCATTACCCTTCTGGGCTCTCCACCACGATTTATAGTGGCCTGGACTGACCGCAGAGTCTGAGGTGACAGGAGCCCCCTCTGTACACCTGCTGTAAACTGCCATCCACGCTGAAGACCAGGCTGAAGACTAGGTGGAGACTGACTCCCCCTCCTCCCAGGATCCAAAACCTTTATCTCCTTGGCCCCGCCCCGGGGTGTGTGTCAAGCTTTTCCCACTCTTTTCCCTCAAGGCTGCTGGGAAATGTAGGCAGGGAGGTACGGCAGCTCCATTGTTCCCTATGGAGTACCCCCCCACACACGTAAGGAATGACCAGGCTGGAATCCATTTTAAGGCCTGGCAGCCATTTCGTCACGCAGGGAGTACTCCATCTTTCCATGTTAAAAGCTAACACTTAGGCAGAAAAACACTTTTAGAGGAGATCAGTTTCTTGACACAGAGTTAGAAGGGACAAGAGGGGACCTGCAACAAAAGGTCACATTGTCCGTTGTCGTTTGTATTAAGTTTAGGGTTGCCAGGTCTGGATTGGAAAAGAATTGTTTACCATTAGACATTATTCTGCATCTATAGCTCTTCAATAAAGTATAACCTTTCTGTGAAGCGTGTACTCAGTGGTTGGCTGTGGAACCTGACACGCCCATGGGTACCGTGTCGGGGACCTCTGCCTTAGACTGGCCTAACGATGACTTCAGTGGACTAACTGCACATGGGCCACCTATGGCCTTCGCTAACAGTGCAATCCTAAATGCAATCACACCGTTCGAAGGCCACTGCAGTCAAGGAGCATGGAAAGCGGCAACTCTTCTCAGGACTGCACTAGAAGTCCGTGTTTTCCCGGTGCCTCGGAATGTCTGTGGCGTCGTCCCTGTGGCGTCCCACGTGGTACAGGCCCTGTTTGAGGCGCTATGGGCACTTTTGCTTTTTATCGGTATCCTGCCTCGCCGCCAAAGGGACGTCTTCACATCCAGTCGCTTGTGCCAGAGAGAGAGACACACACAGACAGAAAGGGCAGCAAAATGTGCCTCCAGGGGACTCTGACCCATCCCATTCTCTCCGCGTTACTATTAGTCATGATTTTAAGGACCAAGGACAGTTCCGAGACGCACATAAAAGGGTTGCCAGATTATATCAGATTTCTTTATTGATTGAAAACATTTTCATGCCTCATTTTACCGGTCAGGGTCTTCAAGGTGGGGAGGAGGAGGAGGAGGAGGAGGAGGAAAAAGAAGAGTAAGAAGGAGTAGAAGAGGAAGTGGAAGAGGGAGGAGGAAGAGGAGGAGGAGGAGGAGGCTGGATTTATACCCCGCCCTTCACTATCCAAAAGGAGTCTCAGAGCGTCTTACAATTCCCTTTCCCTTCCCCTCCCCACAACAGAGACCCTGTATGGTAGGTGGGGATGAGAGAGCTCTTTCGAGCACTGCTCGTGAGAGAACAGCTCTGAGAGAACTTGTGACTGACCCAAGGTCACCCCAGCAGCTGCATTTTGAGGCGTGGGGAATTCAAACCCGGTTCTCCCAGATTAGAGTCCGCGCTCCTAACCACTACACCAAACTGATTCTCTAAAAAAAAGCCTGACCAATACAAAGAACATTTTAAAATGATAATTCAATTAAAAACACATAAATAAACAACAACAGAAGGAGGGCCAGTAACTATTGCTGGGGGTACACCAGATGAAACAATATAGTCATCACCGGCTGGCAAAAGATGCCGATAGAGGGAGACCGATGAACTTCCCTGGGAAGCGAGTTCCAAAGTTTTGGTAACAAGAAGCAAGAAGCCCAACCCAGTCACAGGCAGTGTTCCCTCTAAGCCGAGTTAGTGTGAGCCAGCTCATAGTTTTTTAGCCTCCGGCTCACACATTTTTGTCCTAGCTCAGGAAGGATGGCTCCAGAGCAAACTAATTTATGCAGTAGCCAAATCGCTCGCTCAGAACTTTAATACCAGTAGCTCACAAAGCAGAATTTTTGCTCACAAGACTCCACCACTTAGAGGGAGAGTTGGTCACAGGAGATATAAAATAAGTCCAAGGCCGACGGTGCAAAGTCAGATAAAAATATATTTTATTACTCAGTTAAATTTAAAAAAAAAATCCTATTGCCAATAGGCTTCATCAGAGGAATCTATTTATAAATAATAGTACAGTTAAAATTATATCAATAAATATTCTACTAAAGGTCAAAATCCAGGTCGTAAAATATCGACCACATGCGAAATCGCTAGAGCTTATTCTGTCCTTGGGATTGCATGAGGAAAAGAAACTCTCTGTAACGAAGAGAGATAAGATAGAGCTGTCCAGCCCCTAACAGGTTTTAGCTCAAAATTAAATCAGAGTCTTTTTTCTGTACCTAAATTAATGTTACAAGCCTGTTTGCCTTGCAGTAATTCTTCAAAAGGAGTATGAGATGAGTATCAACTTGCCACTGGAAGAATTCTACTATATTCCGGTGTCTAGTTGACGGAATCTCTATTTTTTTTTAATTAAACAGAAACTGATGCGATTCCAGAGACAAATTTAACCCTTTTAACAGAAGCTGACTGCTAGACTCCAGACAGTGACACCTAAAGTGTTATTTATTTATATAATTTTAACCATACGTTCCCCAGAGAGCACTGCGTTCAGGGGCCCAAAACCGGCTGGCCCTCCCAGGCCCCAAAGATGCCAGGCTGGCGATAACCAGGGCCAGGGCCTTCTCGGTGGCAGCTCTGTACTGGTGGAATGAGCTCCCAGAGGAGTTCCACAGGGCCTGTAAGACGGAGCTCTTCCACCAGGCTTTCAATTAGCAGCCACCTAAGCACCCTGGCTTTACCACCTTCAGCCTGTCTCACCGCAGAAATCAGTCGGTCAAACCGAGCCGATATGAGAATACCGTCGGGACTATCACCTAGTGCTTCCTCTGAGCTGAGTTAGTGTGAGCCAGCTCACAGTTTTTTAGCCTCCGGCTCACACATTATTGTCTTCGCTCAGGAAGGAGGGCTCCAGAACAAACTGATTTATGCAGTAGCCAAATCACCTGCTCACAACTTTAACGCCAGTAGCTCACAAAGTAGAATTGTTGTTCCAGCACTTTAGGAAAATGGATAATTGACTTATAGTTTAAGCGAGGAATCTCTGCTCTTGCACTTTAATTGCTTCCAGCACTTTAGGAAAATGGATAATTGACTGTCTATGGATGTTTTATGGATGTTTCTAACTGTATTTATATATGCATTTTATGGAAGCCGCCCTGAGCCCGCCTTGGCAGGGAAGACCGGGTATAAATCGAACTAATAAATAAACAATAAATAAATAAACTATACCATTATTTACGTAAACTCAGTGGGGCAATTCTATATTATAGATTACAGATTCCCCTGACGAAGCCTGTTGGCGAAACGCGTAGGGAATTCTTCGGGAATTTTAACCTATAAAATATATATTTTACCTGGTTTTGCAACATCGGCCTCGGCTTTATTTTTTTTTAATCTCCAAAGTGCTGGTACCATGACCGAGAAGACCCTGCCTTGGGTCACCACCCGTCTAGCCTCGGTTGGAGGGAGCAACTCAATCAGGAAGATGACTTGAGTGAACAGGTAGATCTGAATGGCAGAAGGCAGTCCTAGATAGGCTCGTCCCCGTGAGAGAAGTGACGTAGTTAAAGTGAGCTAAAGCAGCTGTAAGCTACTGAACAACTACAGAATTGCAGTCTGTGTAGGGAGTGCGAGAAGTGAATTAACCAGCGACAAAGCCGGGGATACGATAAAGAGGAAAGGAATGTGGTCAAGTAAGCAAAGATGGTCTTAGCTAAACAGGGCATTGACAATACGCAGGGGTAATGAACCTATGAATATTATCTAACACACCCTGCACAGTAAAGTAGCTAATTGTAATACACATACGATGTACGTTTGAGAGGGGGGACCATGACAAGGAGCAGAAATGAACTAGGTGGTTGGAAAGATTGTAACCACCGACTACCTCAGCCAACGGGGAAAGGAAGAGGGAACTTGCGACCAGTGTTCCCTCTAAGCTTTGTTAGTGTGAGCTAGCTCACAGTTTTTTAGCCTCCGGCTCACACATTTTTGTCTCGGCTCAGGAAGGATGACTCCAGAGAAAACTAATTGCAGGGCCTGCAAGACGGAGCTCTTCCGCCAGGCGTACGAGTAGGAGCCGCCACAACCATCATTACCATCATCATTGTTCCATCGTCCCTGGCCCTGGAAGAAGGGAACATCAGCGTCTGCTAGAACAGATGACCCTGAGTAGTAGACAACCGTGAGTAGTAGAGAAATTGTATACCATCTGCGGAATATCATAGGAGAACGCCAGAGCACTTTGTTTAGTATAATGTTATTATAATGTTATTGTACTGAATTGATTTTATATGGTTTTATATGTTTTATATTGGCGTAAGCCTCTTGTAAGCCGCCTTGAGCCCGCATATGCGGGGAGGGCGGGGTATAAATTGAATTAAATAAATAAATAAAATAAATAATTTATGCAGGGGCCGAATCTCAGGCTCACAACTTTAACGGCAGCAGCTCACAAAGTAGAATTTTTGCTCACAAGACTCCACAGCTTAGAGGGAACATTGCTTGCGACCGGAGGTAAGGAATAAAATGCAGCAGTTTGAAATGTTCTCAGAGCTCGTCTGAGTCGACTCCCTTTATTGTCAATAAAGTTCAACTGAAGGATACTCCAAACTGACTGCTTCTTTATTTTCCTCCCCAGAGGGGCCGGGGAAGGTAGATTTTGTTTCCCACACCAGCTACACGGCTTTAAAGGAAGCCAAGCGTAGATGGGACAAGACTGGACTGATAGGACCTTGGAAACGTCAAGACAAAGCGCTACAGTAGGCTAGCAAACTTTTCAGTTTTAGAAAAACGGTTCTGTTAGGAAGCCAGTTGTTTCCTGTTTGAACAAACCCGGGAACCATACTGGGAATTCATCCCACTTCGACTGTCCCTTCTTACTGCCTCTAGGGCTCAGAGATAACTTAGTTTCTCCTTGGACAGGCTTACCTCACGATTTATCAGGTCCTCCTGAACTTTCAACGGAGGCAAGGAGGGGACCAAAACCTAAGTAGTTATGGACAGACGACCAGCTTGATGCCAAACCTTCAGATGACTGGACTCAGCACAGAAATGGCCCAAGAGCATTAATCTGACAGGTGGGGCACACATAAACACAGGAAGCTTCCTTCTACTGAATCAGGGACATCAAGGTCAGTATTGTCCGCTCAGACTGGCAGCTGCTCTCCAGGGTCTCAGGTCAAGGTCTTTCTCATCACCTCCTGCCTAGTCCTTTTAACTGGAGATGCCGGGGATTGAACCTGGGACCATCTGCATGCCAAGCAGAGGCTCTACCACTGAGCCAGGGTCTCAGGTCAAGATCTTTCTCATCACCTCCTGCCTAGTCCTTTTAACTGGAGATGCCGGGGATTGAACCTGGGACTATCTGCATGCCAAGCCATAGCTCTGCCACTGAGCCAGGGTCTCGGGTCAAGGTCTTTCCCATCATCTCCTGCCTGGTCCTTTGAACTGAAGATGCTGGGGATTGAACCTGGGACCATCTGCATGCCAATCGGAGGTTCTGCCACTAAGCCAGGGTCTCAGGCCAAGGTCTTTCTCATCACCTCCTGCCTGGTCCTTTTAACTGGAAATGCCGGGGATTGAACCTGGGACCTTCTGCATGCCAAGCAGAGGCTCTGCCACTGAGCCACGGCCCTTCCTCTAATTGTGCATTCTCAGCACTCCACTGGCGTCTCCCACACCCAGGGCTTCGCTTCGTGTCCCACTCACCTTTGAGGTCTCTGTTCTCGGCCAAGAAGTGCTGGATCACCTCGTGTCCTGCCAGTTCAGCCGGCAGATGGGGGGCAGCGGCTCTGCCGAGGGAAGAATCGTCTCCCATCATGCTACAGTCACTGCTACCTGGCTGCACCATGTTACCGCTCCACCCCTTTGGGGCTGCACACATCCAGCTGGGCCCTGAGGATGAAAACAAGAACATGAGAACAGCCCTGCTAGATCAGACCAGTGGTCCATCTAGTCCAGCATCCTGCCTCACACAGTGGCCAGCCAGTTCCTCTGGAGGGCCAACAACAGGGCACAGAGGCCGAGGCCTTCCCCTGATAAAGAACATCAGAAGAGCCCTGCTGGATCAGACCTGTGAGGGCCCATCTAGTCCAGCATCCCATCTCACACAGGGGCTAGCCAGTTCCTCTGGAGGGCCAACAACAGGGCACAGAGGCCGAGGCCTTCCCCTGATGTTGCCTTCAGGCTCTGGGATTCAGAGGATGAGTGCCTCTGAATGTGGAGGTTCCCCTCAGTCACCATACCTAGTGGCCATTGATTGACTTCTCCTCCATAAATCTCTCTAACTCCCTTGTAAAGTTGTTTATTCCCGTGGCCATCGCTACATCCTCTGGCAGAGAATCCTCCATTTTCATCACTCTCTGTGTAAAGTAGTCTTTCCCTTTGTCTGTCCTCAACCTCCTGCCCATCAGCTTCATTGGATGCCCTCCAGTTCTAGTATTTTGGGAGGGCGAGAAAAAGTTCTCTTTGTCAACTCTCTGTAACCCAAGCCTCACCTTATAAACCTCTCTCATGTCCCCCCCCCCTTTCGTTGTCTCTTTTCTAAACAAAAAAGTCCCAGACTCTTCAGCCTTTCCTCACAGGGAAGGGGGCTCCAACCGCCTCATCCAGTGTTCCCTCTAAGCTGAGTTAGTGTGAGCCAGCTCACAGTTTTTAAGCCTCCGGCGCACACATTTTTGTCTTAGCTCAGGAAGGAGGGCTCCAGAGCAAAGTAATTTATGCAGTAGCCAAATTGCTTGCTCACAACTTTAATGCCAGTAGCTCACAAAGTAGAATTTCTGCTCACAAGACTCCACAGCTTAGAGGGAACATCGGTCATTCATTTTTATCCAGCCTACATGATACACTCCTCCTCTATCCAACAGCAATAACCTGTAAGATGGGGAAATTTTTCTATCAAGATATTGTCACAGGTACTTGGGTTTTACAGTTCTCAGAACTGTGAATTTGTGTCTGCAGAGATCACACACCTCTTCTTCACAGCAAAAAAGTTATAAAATAAACATACAGAGTTAAGAGACCGCAGTCCTATTGGTCCTCTGCAAATCTACGTGTACAGAATCAGCCCCTTACCTCTTAAGTGCTAAATTAAGCACTTAAATTAAGCTGTCATGTAGAAAATGGAGCAGATCTGTTCTCTCTTGCTCCAGATTGCAAGACTAGATCTAATGGGTGGAAATGACAAGGGAGTCGATACCGGCTAAATATCAGGAGACACTTCCTGACTGTAAGAGTGGTTGAGCAGTGGAACAGACTGCCTCGGAAGGTGGTGGGTGCTCCTTCGCTGGACGTTTTCAAGCGGAGGCTGGACGGCCATCTTTCGGGTATGTTGTAGGGCTATCTGGAGATTACACATGGAATTCACTGCCACAGGAAGTGGTGGCAGCTACAAGCATGGACGGCTTCAAAAGGGAATTAGATAAGCATATGGAGCAGAGGTCCATCAGTGGCTATTAGCCACAAGGTGTAGATAGGGGCTCTGGGGCAAGTGATGCTCTGTCTTCTTGGTGCTTGGGGGGGGTCCACAGTGGGAGGGCTTCTTATGTCCTGGCCCCACTGTGGACCTCGTGATGGCACTGGTATTTCTGGCCACTGTGTGACACAGAGTGTTGGACTGGATGGGCCTTTGGCCTGATCCAACATTGGCGTCTTATGTTCTTATCTTTCGGCTGTGCTCCTACAGAGTGCAGGGGGTTGGACCAGATGACCTGCAAGGTCCCTTCCAACTCTAATATTCTATGGTTCTATGAAATTTCAAGAAGTTCCTCCTCTGTCCAACAGCAACAATCTGTAACATTATTGGGCAATTTTTCTATCAAGATATTGTCACGGGTGCTTGGTCTTACAGATCTCCAAACTGTGAATTTGTGTCTGCAGAGATCACACGCCTCTTCTTAAAAACGTTATAAAATAAAAATTAAGAGACCGCAGTCCTATTGGTCCTCTGCAAATCTTACGCCTACAGAATCAACCCCTTATCTCTTAAGTGCTAAGTTTCAAGAAGTTCAATTAATAGAAGATTGTCTGGGGCAGAACCAGTCTGGATAAGGAGGAGATGTTAAGAGCTGAGCTGAGGAGGGGAGGGTCAGGCAGTACAGATGAAAGTGAAGCTCTCTGAGCAGAATACTGCAGAAATCCTGAGATCTGTGTGAGTGCATCCTCATGGATGTTTAAGCAAATACAGGAATACAATTGCTATATAATGTTATGGTTTTAGTTTAAACAAAACTATTTAAATGGTTATTGTTGATGGCTATTTTTCTCCTTCCAGAAAAGTACAGTAAAAGGGTTTTTTGATAAAAGGTTTGGAACACTTTCCCTATGAGGAAAGGTTAAGGCGCTTAGGGCTCTTTAGCTTGGAGAAACGACGACTGAGGGGTGACATGATCGAGGTTTATTTATTTATTTATTTACATGTGATTTGTATACCGGTCCTCCCCCCCCCCGCCCGGCTTCGAGGCGGCGGTGG